CTCTATTATCTATCAATTTTAATTTTATTTTTTTATTTTTTTTTTTTTCAATATATACGCTCTACTTATATTTCAGGTAATCATTTAAATTTTATCCTATTACTCTAATGATATTAGTCCGTATTAATTAGTCTAACTGTGCAAATTGTAAAACCATATTACTTAAAAGTAAATACAAATATTATTGCAGTAATTTTATTATTTAATTTTTTTTTCTTTGTTAATAGCTGTCTGCTTGCATAAAATGTTTAGCAGAAGGTGTTTGTATTATTTAATATTTTTTATTTATTTAATTTTTTATTTGTGCTTGTTGATTAATGCCCATTTCTGGCATAATTAATAGCATTAAATGATATCAAAAGCATCTGGCGTCCGCTAGGGCAATAAAATCTCAATCGATTTGCATTAATTGAATGTTAATACGGTTACGATTTTGCGGTAACAATCAAATGATTAATGGCCTGATGTTTCATTTTATATATTTTTTGTATTTTACTTATATTTTTATATTGACTGAGCGCGTGTGTGTGGCAGCAATTGAATAATAATGAGCTGGAGGTCAATCGCAACAAGGATGGACTAGAGATTGGCGATGCTGCAGCATTACGAATACGAATAAGATCAAGGACAGCGATTGAAGTGGCTGAAGTGTGATATTAGGGCACAGTAATCACACACGCTATCAATGATGACACTGACAAGGTCAATAATAGCGCGGCTATCGCAAATATGTGCGGCTCTAGACAGCGAGCCACTCAAGCGCCATTGTTCTCAAGTGACACACACACACACACACACACATATAGCTGCAACACCCACAACACTCGGCACTCGGCACTTAGCACTCAGCACTCACTTGATTTCGCCTGCATGTCGAGCATGGCTTGTGGAACTGCTTAAGTATTGTATTTTTACTTATGCTTGTCATCCTCGTGCGCTCTATTTGCATGCCACAAGCTCATGTTGCAAATGTGTCAAGCAGCAGCAGCCAGATGCTAACCGTTGAGCGACTGACTCTAACTCGCAAATGCAATCAGCCCGAGTTCAACTGTTGACAATTTAATCAAATATACATAGACATTGAGACGAGTATATGTCTGCCATGTCTAGTTTTCGCACAGTTCCATTTATTTCATCCACAAATTCCAAAGTGAAATTTGCTGAGTTCGAATTTGACTTACGAAATATTCGGCGTAACTTCATTGTGAATTGCATTAGCTGGAACGGATCTAACAAGTTGTAATATAGACGAGTTCAATGTATGACTTGGGCTTTTCTTAAAATCAAGTTCGCACTTGCGCCTCCCTATGTGATTCTCATTGTATAAAATGCCACATTAACCATTAAATGATGGTATATTTTGCATACTTTCATTGTGAATGGCATTAGCTTTTTGAAACTGTGAACCATACGAGACTTTTGCTCAATTTTGTGTTTACTTTAAGTTCAACTCACATTCATGTCTCTCTATGTGATTCTCATAGTATAAAGTTATCAATTCATATGATACATATAACTAATACATATTTAATAATATAAATAATAT